TAAGTCTTAAAGACTTCTACTTTTTCAGTCACGAAAACTGTGCCGTCAGAAGTCTTTTTATGGGATTGCCTTCAACTTTATTAATGTTTAAGTTTCTTTCAAAATGAACTGTAAGGAAGCTGCTCTTTTAAATTAAAAGGCTTTTACACTGAGGAATAAACATTCCAGTGAAGCCAATTAAGCAATTTTCTATTTTAGCAATTCGCCAATCCTTATACTTTGCATTTTATACTTATAATTTGGGGGATTTCATTATGTTGGACCTAAAAGTCTTGGGAATATATTGTGGCACGAAGTGTGCAGACAACAAACAAAAAATATTTTGCCTCAGTTAGCACCTGGAGTTTATGCTAGTGAGCCCTGAAAGAGAGAATGAAGAAATATTTTGAAAAATCTCCTGTGTTTATATCTTTCCAATATTATTCACTCTGTTCTTTGGGTACACAAAGTGTTACAGAAAAGCTGAGCCTATTGCTGCTCATCTGGGTCTTAGTGGCTCCATGACTCACAACATTTATGAAAATTCAGTGACTCAGCACTCATGCCATGACTTGGAGGCTTGTTCCATCCTCCCACAAATCTAGATTGTGTCAGTATTCTGTCACTGTATTCTAATACTGATAGAAGATTGGAATCTGGAGAAATGATTCACTTTGATTTGTCTGAAACACCAAGCCAGTGTAATTTTTTGGTGCTGCGGTATTACAGATCCCAGCTGGTGTAGAACAGTAGTTCTCAGGGGACCACCCTTACTTCTGGAAAAGTGATTTTACTTCAGGAAAAGTGATTTTAATTTTCTATACCAGGTGAAATTTTTAAATGTCCTTAAAAAAAAAGTCTGAAGTTCGACATTAATATCAACCCTGTGCCTGTTATGCTGGGGTGAGCGAAGGCTCGCAGTCCTCAGTCTCCATGGCAACCAGCTGCATTCACACAAGGAGTCGAACACCTCCCAGGGTTGTAAGGATTCAGTTGTGCCACTTGTCCCAGCCACCTGCATCCAGTTAACATCGTCATAACTCAGGGATAGTCAGTTCAAGATATTTAAACCATGATCTGCCTAAGGACCATTGCCCTGCCATTGAGCTTCTGTATGGTTCTCGAACCTCGCTGCCACTTGGCACCCCCGCCACCCATTGTCACTACATCCCAGCACCAGAGGCATTGTGCCGAACCTTCTGGCTACCACCCTTGCTTGGTGTCATAGCCAACCTGCCCTGCTCTGCCCTACTCTGCTCTGTTAGTTGTACTCGCCTTCAGTTTTGAATCAGGCCAATATCGCCTATCCCAATCGGCTATCTCTGCCAGCTCTTGTAACTCCTCATGCCTTTGCTGGGCTCAAGCACTTGGATTCCTCAGCCTGTCCAGGAGTTGCGGCTCTTTCCATCTAACAGGCATGTCATAACAGTGCTACTTCTTGAGTTTCTGAACTCCCCTCATTCAGGTGTGTCAGCTGAAATATAATTAATATGACTGAAGCAGAAGCTAAACAAACTAATACTCACTGAGGGAGTGTCTGATACATTGTCACTCCCACCTGTGACGTCCCACCTATTAAGACCCATTTAGAAATATATAAGGGATCTAAACCTTAATTTCTGTGTTGAAGAGAGACTGGAGTTTTGTAGGCTGATGTTGATGGAAGTAAGGGTATTTTGAAACCAAGGACTGAGAGCAGAAAAAAACTCTAAATGAGACAGCAGATCAATTACATGCATCAATTAGCACTGGTGATTAAAGGCCCAGTTGGAACAAAAACTAACAGACATGGCAGTCCCTCAATAATCACATTAGTAGAAAGTAAAAGTTACAGATATATGAAAAATGCATTTAAGAAAAATTAAATGGATTAATTGGAATTAAATGGAAAAAATAAATGGTTAAATGGATAACTAACAATGAATTTTGACATGTAATTTTGTGTTGTTGTTTTAATTTAAAATAAAGGACATAAATCGCCAACAGCATTCTGTCCTATATGTATATATTTACATACCCGTTCATATAGAATTGTTAATGTTTTGGGGCAAAATTATTGGAACACTGGTAAATTGTATAGAACACCTACTGTACTCAGAATATTAATATTATAAAACCTGAAAGAAGGGTAGAGCACATTTATACAATAAGTGATTTACAGAGATTCCATGGAAAGGTATATAATGACTATGTATGCACATTAAGGTATAAAATATGAACCTCTGAAAGAGGTAAATAGTGGCTTCATTGAAAAACTACTCCTTTTACTGATATATTGAGTTCTAAGGTCTGAGATGTTTTAACAGAAGATTTCAAGAAGTGGGACACTCCACCAGTTGAAACAATTGTCAAAAAACACTAAATATACATTTAAAATTAAAATTGATCAAATGTGCAGTGCAGAAGATTTTGGTATTGTACAGCATGTTTGAACTTTCTCAGCATAGGATGAAAAGAAAAAGGAGGGTGATTGTCAGTAATCTGTGGTGACTTCTGCAAACACGGTCATAGTAATTTGAAGCTGTTTTGGCTGTGCTAAAATAGAGTAGCTGTGAATGTGGATTACATATATGTGCTGTGGAAAGTGATTAGGACTGAAATAGAAAACGGAACAGCTAAACAATTGAGATGGTTTGTCTTGAGCACATCCAGCTTTCAGACAAATGGAAATACAGTTCTGTGATGAGGAAGTCTGCAGACAGATAAAAGAACTGAAATTAAAACGATTTTTATCATTGTTTTATGTAACAATGACCATTTTTGTGTTTATATGTACTGTACATGTTAGCAATTATTGTAAAATCTAAATAACCTTTAAAATGCGCAGTTACGCCTTTATAGTTTATACCCTGTAACAAGAAAAATATCACATTGTTATTGACAAGTGAAAGATATGATGTTGTGCAATATATTCATACTGTAAATAGTAAGCAGACAAAATAGCATTGTATTGCATTCTACTGGAAAAAAAATGACTCGAAAGTAATCTTTTATTAAAATCCTATTTAAATACTGGACAGAATAGATTTATGTCCTGGCATTACGTATTGTTACATTTCATAATGCCGATAACAAACAGATTTTACGAAATTGTGTTGATGCGAAGAAAAATAATGCAAAGGTCATTAAAGTCTGGTTACCAGTTTCACTGAATACTGTCACAGTCTTATAATACAATAAACTCAATCTTAATTAAGAAGATCATGAGTCTCACACAACCATGCTTGATGTTGACAGCAGTAACAAGAAATATCACTGATGTTCTTCACAAACTATAAACAGTAATGCAAAGTCTTTGTAGAATGCTGTCTTGTTTGGATTTAGGGTTAGAGCAAATAAAACATTAGGCCTCACCTCTAAACATTATTTTTAAATCCAAAATTCATGGCACGATTTGTTTGACACCTCTTCCTTCTGCCCAAAGGAAATCTGCCATCAAGAGTTGGATTTTTACTTCATACATGGCTGGCACGTGGAACAAAGTTTTGATTTGATCTGCGGTTAATTGGTTAAATACTGTATGTGTAAACATCTTCATTTATTCTATTGGCTTTTCAGCATTTGCTGCTAGTAAATCTTGCAGCCCATTTTTCCAAATTAGAAGCTGTACAAACATTTTATAGTCTCATTGAGATGTGTTTATTTCAAGTACATGAACATTTAGTGGGTGATTCAGACATAAGCTTCATTGATCTGTTTTGAGTCTGTGAAGGATTTCATAAGGCATTTATTAGCATGCTTTTAATGCCATCATATGAAGAAAACCGTGAAATTTGGGTCTTAATATTCTCATACTTAGTAGTGGGCAGCATAGCAGTTTCCTTATGTGGTCCTGTGGTAACTTTATATACTGTATATATATTATTACATCTGATATTTTCATGTAACCTTTAAAAATGCTCAGGAGTTTATAGTTTATAAATTCCTTTTACAGATTTATTTTCTTAGTTCAGCCCATAATATGCTTTCCCATACTGCAATTTCATTCACCCAGTCTACATAGACTACACTTCACCCTTGATATTTGAAAAACATTGCTTTTGACATATTGTGCATGTAAAGGCTAAATTCTTTTTTGTACTCCCTGGAAACCCATTAAAGAGTCATTAGGTTTATATAGCAATTTTTTTTCTCTTTCCCCAGTTGACTCTTAGATGCTTACCTATGAAATCCGTACAGAACAGAATTCACACCTATTCCCCATACAAAATCACTTTGGAAGCCCTCAAGCTGTTGCTAGTTCATGTCAAAAGTGGAAAAAGAAGTTATGTTAAAGTTGATCGGACTGATATTTTTTGAAGCAAAGGTCTAAATAATACATACTGTATAATAGAGCCTATCTTTAAATGACATATTTCAATGGAAGCAAAAACAAGAATCGTTAGTTGTGTTTAATGTTAGATTTATCACATTTTGTTAAAAAAATAAATCTTTACTTCCTGCCACGAGGTACTGTGCTACTTTTTTAGCACTTGATTTTTAAGTCATGTGTAGGATTGTGATGTACTATATTTTTCCATTCAGAATTTCCTGTACCTATACAATTATGTTGCCTGCCCTTGTTAAATGTCAGTATTTAGGCTTCATTGATTTGTAATATATATGTATATTGTTCATTTAAAAAGAAGAAAAAAAAATATTTGAGCAACGTATGTAACCTGAGCATTTCAAAAGTATTTTAAATCACATACGCATCTGATCTACGTTTTATTGTCCAAATCCAGTTGTTTTAATTTTTTAGTCCCTTTTTTTGTCATGTCCTCGTCTAACTTTGAAATGCCTGCTGGGTGTCAGTTTAATGTCTTGTAAGCAGTAAGAGTACTAAGAGGAACTCAGAAGAGATGATTGTATTTTGGACATCGTATGGGGTTTGTCCTTTTTGCCAGAGCAGTGTTGCGTTTCCAGAACTGTTTGGAAGAATAATTTAAGGCTGCAGGAGAGCCTATGTTTGGGAAACTCTTTTTCAATGGTCTTAACTCTGACCATTCTTTTCAGCTGTCATTTCTCCTTTCACCTCTCAGCCACAGGACAAAATCGTCTGGCTGGCCCCCACCTTCAGGGACCTGGAGCTCCTCGCAAGGACCCCCCTATGGATGGGAGATGGCGACAAATAGAGAAGGCAGAGACTGTTACATCAAGTAAGTGGCAAAGATACAGAGAACCCAGATGTTTAGAAGCTTCTGCAGCATGTAATTATTCCTCACACGTCACTGCCTACCACTTGTGAGTCTCCTGCTGTGTATATAGCATACTGATGGCTTGCTTTGGCTGGCGAGGAAGGAAAAGCAAAAGAGAAAAAAAAAACATGTTTTCAAAGAATTGCATCAGTGTTAACATTGCAGGTAATTTCTAGAGCGCAAAGGCATAGGAACGGAATACAGCGACTATGTTCAAATCAGCAGGGCATGGCTGCCTTGATCTGATTAGAATCTGAAATAAAACTAAACCTGGAGATGGTCTGATTGTAGCCAAAGCCAGCAGAGGCTACAATTAAGAAATTTGGGATTTCTCAGAAAATTGCAGGTAAATAATTTATTTACACTTTGTTGTGTTAAATGTGTTTCATTTTTTAAAAAATATTTATTCATAAACAGTATTGTCAGATTTGAACTTCAACCATAATGCCCTGTGAAAATCATACAATGTTAAACAGATTGGACTTACAGTATATCTGCTTTTTCCATTCATGTACTGTATGTTGCTAGTATCTCCTTATACTGTAGTAAGTATGTATTTTTCTAAAACTGTTGCAGTCCATAAAAAGGTAATTATTTATCATCAACAATATCAGATATTTTGGATACACGTTCACTATTTTCATTCAATCTTTTTTTTATTTTAATATTTCCTAAATTTATGGATGATAATTTTCTTGGTTTTCTCTCACTAAAAGCCATACACTTTAAATCATGAAAAGTTGTCCATCCAGTGAACAACTTCTGTTTAGGCAAGGTCTCTAAGGTAAATTTGGATTCTTGATTCTTGATATTTGGATTATAGTAGTATAAAATATTGTATGGGTTTTTGAAACAATGAGCTCATTATCAGAAATGTTTTATTGTTTCTTTGTCTTGAAGGTTTGCTTAATTCTTTTTTATTCTGAACTTTGCATATGATATGTTGCTAATTTGTTTTTACACAGGTGTACTGTAGGATCCAATGTCCAATAAAAAACATGCTGGCTCTTCATAACTTTAGTGATGGCTTTCAATTAAATCAAATCAATTATTCAGATATACTGTACATCATTGACATGTCAATGTGTGGTGTTATAAAGATCTTGCTCTGGGAATATGTAAAGTTTAAAGATGATCTTGTGAGTTCAATTACATATTGCTGATTACAGACCATTCCTGCTGCAGATGTTGAGAGAGAATCTAATAAGGTGGATTTATTTTATCACAGGAAACAGGCAAAAATGTGCATTTTGCAGCCAGTATGAATAATAATATCTCATCATTGACTGGGCTTTAAAAAGTTCACAGCAGCTATTCTGTCAAGGTATCATGTATGGTTTGGGTACTAGTTGCAGTTTTTTTAAGGTTGCGTTGGTTCTCTTCAACATACTGTAGAATAATCTTTTTTATGCAGTATAGTCCATTTTCCAAAAATAAACATTCTGTACACATAGTGGCCAATGCTTGTCTCCAGGTGGGTTTCTGACACAGTGGGGTTCTGCTCCAGTCAGAGCAGTAAAGGTTTTTCATATCTCAGTCAGTTTCCTCCTACAATCTGTGGCATGCGTACGAAAACCAGTTTTCATTGAAAGAAAATGTGTGGTATGTGTAACCGTGCTGCTGAGCCCAGAGCCTATTCCATAAGGTGACGTCATCCCATTGGAACATAAAGGGGTGAAATCCCTGACAGCAGGACTTCCCTTTGAAGAGCAGAAATCCTTGCTGTCTGAGCAGTGGTGCTTTGGGCACATAGACCCTTTGAGGGAGAAGAGCTGCATTTCTCAGCTGGTTATATAAACACTGAAGACCTAACCTAACGTAACTGCGCATTATTTATGTTAGATAACACAGTTCTTGTAATGTATATTTGGATTTCTTACATTATTTTTACACCTCAAAAAGAGTCACACTAAGCTAAACAGTGCCCGTGGCATTTATTTCACACATACTGTACTGTATGCTGCAGTATGCTACATAAGGTGAAATAAAGTAGTGTGATTTGAATGTCTGAGTAAATAACCCCCCATTCTTCCATATTGACAAATTTAAACTCATCACCCTTAAAGGAAAAGATTAAGAGGGGATGGATTTGTATCCTAGAGAATCATGCTACAGACTGATATTGAAGGAAGGATGCACACATTATTGTCTGTTTCTAGATGGGCCAAACGGCTTCATCTCATGTTTTTGAGAACCTGAATCTCAATAGTTTCTATATATATACAATCAATAGTTTATACTCGGCCGATTCCAAATGCCAGCAAATGCCAAATGGGAGACACTGCAGACTGGATGCATGTTCACCGGCAATCCATCTGTTATTTTACATGCTGCAGACTAACAGCTCCAAAAAAGGAGAGTTAGTGCAGAACAGGATTTTGATTTCTGTAATGTGTTGGACAAAAATGATAGATAGATACTTTATTGATCCCGTGAGGGAAATTGCAGTGCAACAGCAGCTTAACACAGACGACACAGCCACAGTGTAACGAATGATACAATAAAAATAATACAATCCTGAACATACAATACAATCAGTACAGTGAGAAGTGCACTAAGAAGAGATACTCACAGTCCAGAACACACAAAGAACAAACCAGAACAGAACAGTACACAAAAAAGTAATATTGCACAATATAAATATACATATAAATGTATTGCACAGGTCCCTGGCATATATTGCACAAAAACGGTTGTAAACGGGAAAAGAAAAAGAACAGATATCGGGTCAAGCAGAAATCTTGCCATTAACTGTCAACTCAAAATTGCATTTAATTTGTCATACAGAGTTATAGTTAAATGTTATAGCATCTTAACTTATTCACAGTTCTGTTTTTTTCAAGAATATTATTTATTCTAGAAAATATTTGAGACCATATGAATAACAATACAAGAGAATGCTCCCTAAGGCAGCTACATAGATCTGAGCACATAAAAACCCTAAAGAAAAACACTGTACAGTTCAGGAGACACTACAGAGTTTATGCCGGTCTTATATGAAAAAAAAAAATTAAAAAGAGACAACTCTTTCTCTGTTACTACTAAAACCTAGAAGTCTCCCCAGAAAAGTGTACTTCCTAAAACCCAAACACCACTAAAACGTCTGTCATGCTATAGGACTCGACACGACTTCTAGTCAGAAACCATGTCAAATTTAACTACTGCAGTTGCTGTAGTTAAATGCCTTTTCTGTCCTAGAGAGCATCAAATTATACGACTAAGAATCGCAGGGGGTGACTTATTACACCATCCCCTC